AGAGGAACCTCATTGCACCCTTTCAGTACTTGAAGGGGACTTATGATGGGAAGCTCAATCAGATAATGACAGGATAAGGGGGAATGGTTTTAAACTAAAAGAGAGGAGATTTAGATTAGAGGTTAGGAGGAAATTCTTCACTGTAAGGATGGTGAGGCACTGGAACAGGTTGTCCAGAGAGGCTGTGGATGCCCCATCCCTGGAGGTGTTCAAGGCCAGGTTGGATGAAGCCCTGAGCGACCTGATGGCTTCCCTGCCTATGGTGGGAAAGGTCCCTTCCAACCCAAGCCATTCTATGATTCTATGGTTCTATGATTTTAGCAAGACTTGTACATTATTTGGTTGTAGGCAGACCTGTAGGGCAGACCTGTAGGGCTAGAAAAGAGACAGAACTATGTATAGGTATTTTTGAAGTATGAGTGCTAGACCCCTTTCTCAGGGTTCACATGGAAGTTACTGTTCCTGTAGTAGTGGGCAAAAGGGAAAATGTGCTTTCAGTTTGCTAGATCACAGGTCTTTGAAAGTGCCAGTGCAGGTGGGTCTATATGAAGAAACCAGGTTCCCAAAGGTAGCAAGTGAGCATGGGTACAAGTTCACTTCTGCTCTCCTGGTATGAAGTACTAAAAAGAAATCAAAGAGGGGTAGATAGCTATGGGAGGAAATAACATCTTAATCTACCACTTTTGCTTGCCTCAGAGCACTTAAGTCAGAGCCTAAGTCTGGTCTTTTGATACCAGAGGAATTTATGTCTCCAGTAAGTGGAAATGAATCTCTGCTTCATAGCTGCTAGCTGGGAAAAGGGATTTTTGGCATGACTGACCATGTCACACTTCCCCGGTCGGCAATTTCATTGAAGAATTCATGCACAGGGTAGCCAAGTATTTGTATCTTGTATAACATTTATTTGGCAGCCTTTTGATAAGTCTCCTCAGCCCAGCTGGAGGAGCATACATCCAGCTGGGCCCCAGGAATGGGCGGTGATGACTGCTGGTGAGTGCCAGAGGCTGAAGCTTGCCTGTAGGGCTGGCAATCCTGCAAGTCTCCTTTCCTGACCTGTTGGCAATTAGAAGCAGCAGAGCATCATCTGCAGCTACCTGGGAGAGCCAGGTCTCAAGAGCACTGCTGTAGTCTTTCAGGCATTTGTCACCATGATAGACGGACAAGAAATAGAGGCAAGACAAAGGAGAGTGCTAGCAAATTCCTTAATCAATGAATGCTCACTGTTATCACATAAGCCAGGAACCCTCCAGCTTCTGCACATTTGCTGACAACTCAGCATTCATCCAGCTCTTGCTTAGCCTTGGCTGTTCTCCCATCTACTCCACCCATAGCTGACAAGTTTTGTGCAGCTTTAAAGCCTAATCCCACTAATGTATGAGTCAGGGTGCTGCTTATTAAAAGAAAGGTGTGTGGTCATACAGGCAGGCACTTATAGGTATAAGAGAATGGTATGAGAGTATGAGGCAATGCTGAGAAGAAGACAGAAATAGTTATAAAGCTTATTGGGCTTTTTTATTAGGAGGTAATTGTTCCTTCCCAAACCAAATTCAGCATTCATAATCAAATAACTCAGCAGAAGTAATGAGGTCTCAAATGATCAATGACTATTATGTTTTGTATTTTCCCAGGACCATCTAGGTCTAAGAAAAGCTAACAACCCTTTAAACTGTAACTTTCTCAAATGTTGAGTTTCAAAACTGGAAACCAGGACACTGTTACTCTTTCTGTTTCAGGCAAGCTAAACAATGAATGAGAAAGTAACAGGCACTTGACTGGGTGCCTATCAAAAAAGCCAACTGTAAGCCAGAACATTTATTGTTAAAATTATGAGCTCATGAAAATCTAAGTTTATATGAACAAAGTTGTTTACAGACCCAAAATAACAGTATTCATCATTTTAGTGCAACTCTAAATTAAGATAGTGCAGATGGGCATAATTTCCATTCCTAATATGAGATAACACCATGTGTCTTTAATATAAATGCAACATATACATTCAGCTAGACTGTTATGCAACATATACATTCAGCTTTTGGTTTCTGACATTTTCTATTCAAACCTAAGTCATTATCAAAGAAGTGAGTGATTACAAATGCAGTGAAAAAAAATGGCAACAATGCAAACATTGGTCAACAAACATGATCAATCCCTTAGGACCTCTAAGGACCTTTTAGGTCCTTATTTGTAGGACCTGAAAAGAATGAAAAGCTTTCTCTGTTAATGGTTGCAGGTAATCCTCTATCCAAACATTTTCCCCAATAAACATCAGATTATTTTTATGTTAGCTGTAAAGCTGTCACTCTTCAATAAACAGATATACTCCTGGTGGTTTTACCTTTGCTGTCAAAGATCTGTCAATACATACAGCATCTCGTAAGTGAAACCAGAGAAATTCAGATGCAAAGTTCCTAACAAATACTGCTAAACAAAGGTTGGTCACCACAGGAGAGGATTCACAGAGCTGCAGTCCCTGTGCAATTGGAAGTGACTGGAAGGTTCCAACGCAAGTCTGCAAAAGTCCTGAAGTAGATACTCCTAATTCCATTTAATAGACAGCTATGCCACCTCTAATGCTATGCTAGACTGACCCTTCCTTTAGTGAGTCTCAATTAAATTTTATGTTTTGTGGCTCCTGTTTTCTTGTAAGACAAGAAAAGAGTTCAAGGGATGGATCATTCTTTGAAGATTTTAATTCCCTGTGGAGAATATTTATTTCCAACTAAAGAACTCTTCAAAGTTTGGGAGGTGGGGGAGGGGAGCTTTTGTAGAGGCTTTTTATTTTTTCCTGTGTTTTTTGTTTAAGAAACTTTTATTGTTTTGTGAAGATAAAGGAGACCTCGTATTCTTTGAAAAGGACAGAATTCTATTAGTGGAAATATTTTATCTGCAATTCTCCTTATAACACAGAGAAAATCAGAGTGATGGTTAAAGAAATCCTGGCCACCATTTCCAATGAAGCAGTTTGTCATGAAATCACTAGATTGTTACTATAATGCTGCAGTAACATAAGACTGGTCAGTCTTCAGTAAGAGAGATTGCAGCAAATTAAACTTTAGGCCAATCCCCCAAATCTATTCTTCATATAACCTGAACAAGGTCAAAAAATTAAGGCTTTAGACATATCTTACCTGTCTGAACTGGGCTTAGACATTCTAGCTCACCATAGTTGCTATTACTGGAAATGTTACTACAGAAGAGCATAAGCACTATTCTCAAATGTAAATATTTTCAGGTGCAGTCCACTAGTAACATTTATTTTTCTGACATGTTCCCTTATTTCATGATTTTTTTTTGTTATCAACTTAACGTAAAGTCACATATGGCAGTAGGCAACTCTGAGTGCTGGAGAGAGGTGCATAAATCCCTTATATAGTCAGTATAAAAAGAATTGGATCTCTCTGAAAATCAGTAAAGTGCTGAAGGGGATTTTATTTGGGGCTAGCCAATATGCAATAAACAAGGGACACAAAAGAATTTCTTTTACCCTTCTCCTAGTTCACACCTGAATCTGGACACCTCATATATTGTTTTTATTTGCTTGGTATCTAAATATGAAGTCCTTTCTTAGTGCTCTATTCTGCATATTTTTGTGATCACCCAAGGAGAGGTTCAAGAATTGAATTCAAAATAATTCATTTTAGGTTCAAGATTTCCACTAACTTAAAGATTTTGCAGTCATCTCTCTTGCTTCCCCCAAAGTGTCATAATCAGCTAGCTTCAGAAATGGGACAATTTGCATAGGTGGGAATAACAGACTCAAGAATTCAGAGAAGTTTGTTAGGATTAGTTGATTACTTTTGTTTATTTTTAGCCAAAGTTTAAGATTATATTGTATCTGAAATTCTCCTCCTTTTCCCCTTGTGCTTACTACTGATGACTGTTTTAATGTGACATTCTGTTTCTAACTGACAAATAAGGGGAAACATGACAACTTCCTCTCTTTGCAACTTTAGTGAAACATCTCTACAACTCTCTCTACTTTAGCAATTCAAACCACCTAGTTCTTTATCTGTGTACTTATGTAAGGTAGTTTAGCTAAATCTCTCTACAAGAAACAATATTGGTCTAGTTCATTTTCACTGCTGGCCTCTCTTATGTTTTACCAGTACAACATGTAGACACAAGAAGTCTGATCCCTGCTGCACCTCTGCTGCTTCTATATGTGGCATCTATGCCATTATATATGATCACAATTCCATTTTGGTCAATATATGGACAAAATACTGGTTGCTGTTGCATTTACAAAGTTGTTATGGAAAGCCTGCCAGCTACTCAAAACTGGCATTGACTAATTAGAGTTACTCTGATTAAAGGCTAGCTCCCAAAGAGCTCCTGTGGATAACAGGCTTAACTTTAAGCATGTGATCAGTCCCATTACATTCACCAGCTTTAACAGGACTGCACATAAAATTAAGCATGTACTTAAATGCCTCTCTGGATCAGAGCCCAAGTCCCTTAGAAAAGCTCTGGCTCAGAACAGTGTAACCTTCTAAATCCAGTTCGATTCAGGTGACTAAGAACCATAAATCCTTTTCCATATTCTGTCAAATTGAAAAGCTGTGTAATTTTACTCACACAGGTCTTAGAAACACTGCCTACCACAGCTAACTGGGAATACCAGTTCATCAGAGGTTGGAAACAAGTACTCCTCTGAACTCAGGCTCAGACTGAACTAGTTCAGAAAACAAGATATAAGAACCAAGATACTGAACTGCACTGATGTGGACATCCCGCTCCCAGTACTGAGGCAGAGTTTGTTCAAGTATCTCTGCACAGCTGTGTATCACAGTTTTTTAAACACATCCTAATAGCAAAATTTTGTATTGTAAGCGTGAGTAATGTTAGGACTTTGCAAATTGTGCTCATTATGTAAGACTATATGTTTGCCAAATTCTGGCAATTGCAGAAAGGGTGGAATATAAAGAGGATCTAATGTCTGGAAAATAGGTGATTAAAAAAGGTCACATAAAATTGACAATTTTAAAAACATATACTCTTACCCTTCTCTCTGGAAAATAGTCCTAAAACAGTCCCCCAGGCTCTTGTAACTGGTCGGATCAGTTTTCCCTCTTTGAATTTGGAACCTAAAAAAAATACAATTTACATCACAGCATGAGAAGTTAGGGATTTTAAGTTACTTTTAACTTTCTAATTATTATATAAAAGATGTTTTAAAGGTTATTTAATGTATCTGATTCATTATTATATACTGTTCCTGATATACTTATTAACACTGTTTTCATAGAAGCTGTTAAACTAAGGAAAACTAGAGCTTTAGTAGTAATGTTTTTTTGTAGTTTATGGAATTCACAGTATAACTATCACCTTTGACATTTACACCTCTTTCTAGTTGTTTGAAAAATAAGCTGTTAACCCTGTGCCTGATCCAAAGCCCATTGAAATTAATGGGAGTCTTTGAATCAAACCCTGTTTTTGAAAATCTGAAATGGAATACGGTCATGTGTTTCACTATTAAATTAATCCACTGTGCAGTTTTGTTATTTTTATATCTGATGCAATTACAATAAAAATCAACCGGGGACATGACCAGAGATTACAGCATCATACATTTTTTTTGTAATTTATTAATAAGATGAACAATAAAACAAAGCAATGAATTCTTTTAATTCTCTTAATTAAAACCTTGTTTTCTCTATTCATATTTTGACAGTGATAAAGGTTTCAAAAGAAAGGCCTTGAAAGGAAAATAAAGATTATGATTTAAGACGGTAAATATATTATTTACAATTTCAGTATTTGTTAAACAGTAAGTTTAACAAACTATATTATTTATTCAATACCCCAGAAAGTTTATTCTACTTCTTGTATAGCATGGAGAAATTCTGAATGCCTATTTAAACAAACAAACAACAACAAACAACAAACAAAACAAAACAAACAAAAAAAACCACTGATATTAGCAAATTCAAACTACAAGAAGTCTCTATCAGTCAATCAATAAGTTGGATTTATCACTAAGTACAATACAAATTCTACACAGCAAAAAAAATAGTTTTAGAGAATAACTGACATAATCAAGAAACTCATAGGCCACATCTCATTAATATGCAAAGGTATAAAGGTATTTTTAACTCAGTGTTAAACAGCAGTGTTTTCTTTTTCATGAGAATTTAGTAGAAACAAACCAAGATTTCCACTGGAACAAAAGGCATTTATCCTAATGAACATCAGTATTTCCTAAACTGTGTTCTGTGCTAACACATCTAATGTTTTATTCACTTTAAGGAAAAAAAAATCCAGTGATGTAATACAATTCTTTAGGCACTTATGAAGGCAAGCCCACACCTTTTTTGAAAACAGTTAGAAGGAAACACTGAGCCCCTCCATAGTCCTAATAAAAGTAGTTCAGGCACATCTGGGATCTCTATCTGGGGTAACCTCTTTTATTAGCGGGAAAACTTGCTGCCAAGTTGGCAGAGTAGAGAATGCTATTCAATAGGCTTACATTCAAATAAGAGCTGATGCATAACATTTTGTCTGAAAAGAACCCTAGGGAAGGCTAATAGTTGAAAATGCCTCTATGCCATTGCACAAGCCCAACAGAAATATCAGCTACAGAAACTTTTACATTGAGGTAATCAAGCAATCAACATTATAATAGAAAGTAGATTCTAATCAAATCTTGATATATATAAAACTTGATTATTTATACCTCTCAGTTGAAAAACAAAAATAGTCTTTATGTTTTTTAAAGAACAACAGAAAATTTCTTTCAAAAACTCACCAGCAAATTGCTTTTTCCTCAAGTGTTTCAAAAGTAAAGCTTTCTTAACCTAAACTCTTCTTCTCAAGTTTCAAGATTTGACCCACTTGTAAACTCAGAACAAAGCATTACTGTTTCAAAACATCCTCAGAATAACGTGCCTTCCCTCTCTCTCACCTTACAAATCCTCAAGCTTATCCTACTAGCACATGTGCAAGGTTTCCAGCTACAATCCGCGCATACACAACTGTAGGTAGAACTGAGAATTAATCCAGTCTCACTGTACATCTGAACAACACAATGAAGGTATGTTACTTAATTTTGATTTACAATTACAGTCGGTCAACTTCTCATAATTATTAAATAATTAACTTAAAGTATGTCTTTGATAGTAATAATGAAAATCATAGCAAAAGACAATAATACAATAAGCAATTTCATTGTTTCAGATGAAGAGACATGAGGACAACTTCTTGCTAAAAAAAGTTAAAGTTGCATTTTTTTTTTTTAACTTTAAAATAGATAAGACTCTAGTATTAAGTGAGTCCATTTGTAACACTGAGTCACACAAGTAACATATTCCTTCCTTTAGGGTTTTTGGATCCATTCCTTCCCTAGTAAATCTTTTTTTATAGCTTTAACAGTGATCCTAAAATACATGCCAATTATGTGTTTCAACCTAGATCTGCGAATTGGGTTCTTTGATTCAGAATTGCTTGCCTTAATAAAATCATGTGTAACTTTTTAATGAACTAGCTAATTGATCACCAGAACTTGTTATAAGAAGCTCAAGGAAGAGCTGAAAAAATGTTTGGTTTTCTGGAGGCAGCAGCAGCCTGTATTGGTAATCTTAATAATCCAAAAGAGTGAAAGCATTCACTTCAGTAAACAACCTGGTCTGTTTTTAATGATTGTTTAGAGGAATGAACACAACTGGGGGATACGTAATGGCTTTCTCTGCTTCCAATCCATTTCCTTCTAAAAGCATTATAAAACCCCTGAATTTCATGCATTTTTGGAAGCTGGACGCCTGCCTTGCAAGGTATTAGCTTTGCTAGAACAAAAAGATAAATTCACCTATAAATATAATCAGGGTGTGAACTTCTAACCTAATTTATTATTTTGATGTCTGAAAAGCATCATGTGCTTTTCAGCAAACAGAGACATGTTGAATGGACAGGGAGGCAGATTGGTCACTGTATGCTCTAACACTGTAAACATTTACTGAGAGCTTGATTGCCCTAAAAATGATCATTAGATAACTTTCTTTCTTTCTTTCTCATTTTTCTGCTTCTCGGCTATCTGCTGTGGCCAAAATGCTGTGATGTGTGTTCCCACCTTGGGCCTGCTGGCAGAACCATTAAGCCATGTGTAATCTCCTCCTGCTTGGGGCCTGTTGCCTTCCCTTTCTCGCTGCTCCCACCTCCTGCTCCTAATGTCACTGGGGACCTTGCAATCTCCCTTTGGGGCCATAGCAACATCCCATGAGACTTGGTGTTTTATGCCTTCTTTGACTGAACACCACCGTGTAGTAGCTTTGTTTGATACCAAAGTGTCCTGATATTATTTTAAAAAAGAACATCAATGTCTTTCCCTGTTCAAACCAAAAGAGACATGTCTGGGATTTCAAAAAGCAGAAATCATGTCAAATAATTCGGGGTCTTGGGGTCTGTTCAAAATGCGACATCTGCATTGAAAACTATGATCTAAACCCAAGAAAATATTCTAACTTATTCACATTAATCAACATTATGATATATATATGTGTACTCTGCTGTACACAAATGTACGTATCTGTTTACAATGTCTAACTTACAGTTCTTTTGGGTTTTATAATGGCCAGTATGTTATGCTGACTTTTACAAAATCCTCATTATACAGTAAGATTTCCTGCAAAAACACCCTGTTCCAGAAGTCCTTTAAAGTCTTCTCTAACACTATCTGTATCTATAGGAGTACAAGCAGATGTGTGTGCTCTCTGATATATATATGTGTGTATATAATATATATTTTTTTCTTTGCCTCTCTCATTTGCTGTTTTTATTTGTTCATGCTTGCTGAAGATCTCATCAAAAGTGTCCTGTGGATTTTGCCACTACAATATATATCCATGCAGTGTTTACACTCTGTTCATTGCAATGTTACCTAGCAGTCCTCCGCCTTTTATTTAATGCTCTGGGTTGAATAAAGATGTCAAATTCATGCTGAAATTCTTTTAGTTACGTTAAAATCTAAAAGGAAGAAACCACTATTTTCATATCTATGTTAAAGTAGGTAGTGAGCAGCTAATTAACAACTATATAGAATAACCACAATGTGATGTGCAGCAGGCTCACCAAATTCTGTTATGTGGACCAGACTCACCACTGGGATTACAAAGCCCATACCCTCATTCATAAATTCCAGAATTTCTCGGTGCATTTGTACAGTACTGCTGACTAGCTCCTCAACCACAAAGCTCAGAGGGAAAGAAAAACATTGACTCAGAGAAACAGACTTTACACCGTGTCACAGTGCTTCCAATAAGTGGCAGTCTTAGTTGTTTTTTCCCTCTCCTCACATCTTGTTAGGATTTCATCATATGTTCTACTCTATTTTGTATAAAGCTCCTAACATTCCCCCCATGATTTGGACCAAAGCAAATAATCTCAGTTACTGAGCTGTTCATATGATATAAAGAAGAGAGGAGAGTTATGTGGCATAACAACAAAACAAATTAAATTATCTGTGCAATGTTAAACTTAAAACAACTTTTAAACAAATACACAGCCTTCTGAAAGCTGAAAACATATATAGTTCTCCTAAAATTTCAATAATTCCCATGATTCGAGACACACCTCTGTAGTTAGTCCTACTAGCATAACTTGATCAAGAATGTATAGCCTGAAGCTTTATATAAATATACATCATCTAATAGTTCATGTCTATAATAAAAAATAACCGCATTATAATTTAAAAAGATTTAAATTTGCTAACTTAAACATTTATTCAGGTGCTACTACTGGTGAAGGCTATCTACTGATGCTCAGATTTCATGCAAAACTTTGCACTGCAAAGCAGACATTGATGATATATTTTATTTTTTTGGCTCAAGTTCTTTGAATTGCTTACGTTTCTTACAGGATAATAACTAAATTTAGAGTATAATACTGTCACTTATTTTAACAGCAAATCATATGAGTTGTTGAAGAACTGAACCTAAGATTTCAAAACAAAAAATCTAATTATTTAAAGACAAAGATATAAATTATGCTGGTATAAGCGTCATATTTTAAGTATTATAGTATTGCTATGATGATTATTTAACTGCAAAAAAAAAAATAATAATACTATAAAGTTGTAACATAGAGAACAGGCAAA